CCGCGACGGGGGCGACCAACTGGAGCGACGTGAGCGAGTCGCATTCGCCTGGCCGAAGGTAGGCCGCGAACGAGACCAGGAGTGCCACGGCATGCTCCACGAGGCCCCGGCGCAGCAAGACGCCAATGATCGCAGCCAGCAGGGCCCAGGGCAGCGGCATCCGCGACCGGCGCGGCACGACCTTGCCCCATCCTGCCAGGGCCCGCGACGTGCGCGGGAGCGCCCCGGCGCCCCAGCGGCCTAGGTCTGGATAGAAGAACTTCACCGCTGCGACCAGCTTGCTCGCGTCGTCGCCCGTGAAGCCCCCGAAGAACAGCTTGTCCAGGAACAGCACCAGGCAGAGGTCCAGCCGCTCGTAGTTCTCCCAACCCTGGCGGGCTGCCGTGGCCCACTGGACGAAGGCCAGGGCTCGGCGGTGGTAGTCCTTGTACGTCGCGGGCTTCACCGACCGCCCCTCCAGGTAGGTCAGCTGCTGCAGGGTCGGGAGGGCGAAAGGCGACGGGGGCAGCGGCAGGCAGCGTTGGCGCGCTGCCGTCTGGACCCCGCTGGGAATCGCAGTCTGCCCCGCCTGCCACGCGTGGGCCTCTGGCTGCAGGGTCCGTGTCGTGTAGGGGGCCGTCCTTGATGAGGCTCGGGAATGGCGGGACGGCTGGCAGAGGCTCGGCGTCACCGTCAGCAGCCACAGCACCAGGAGCAGCAGCCGAGGCGCCCGGGTCGCGCGCCTGCTTGATGAAGAGACGACCTCGGGAGGGGTAGTCCGAGGGATTGCGTTCGGACGGAACCCATCGGACAGAAAGCCTGACCCCGCAGGCCAACGACAGGGCGCAGACTTCTCGAAGGACGTCTCGAATCTGAAAAGCCCCAGACCGCCCTTTTCCCACTGCGAGAGCCAGCCCGAGGTTGTCGACGAAGACGAGCAGCCGTCGCCCGAAAGCCGAGCGGCTCCGGAGCAGGTGACGAAGAGCCGAAGACAGGGCCAAACCCTCGAGGCGGAGGATGTTTGCGCCGGCCCCCCATTTGAAGCTCTGGACCACCTGCCACCGGCTGGGATGCATGAAGTCGGCGTCGACCGGGTCGAACGAGCACGCGTCCGCGTGCGCCTGCAGCAGTCCAGCGGTGAAGCCAAGCTGCTCGTCCTGGAGCGCCGAGTCGGACTCGATGCCCGCGCCGGCGCCGACGTCCGGGGCCGCCCCCTCGGCGAGGAAGGCGTGGGCGCGCGCGTTGGCCGCCCCGGCAGCGCGGTAGCGCCGGCGCTCCGCCACCCGGCCGAAGGAAGCGGCCTCTGAAGCCTGGCAGTGCCGGCGGCACACCCCGCAGCCCCAGTGGGAGGCGTCGCTGGCCGCGACGACGCTGTGCCAGACGGCGTCGGCGTGGGCGACGAGCAGCGGGGGCAGGCCCATGGCCGTCGTCAACTCCTGGCGAACCGAAGGCCAAAGGTCCAGCACGCGCCCCTTGCCAGCCTGCGCGAAAGCGTACACGCTGGACAGGACGGAGAGCGCGGACCGCTGGAGCAACATGACCCACGTCAGGTGGCCGACCAGGATCTCCATGACGTCGCCGCCGCAGCGCCCCTGGGAGAGCAGCTCGGCCAGAGCCACCTTCAGGCGCCACACTCGCTTCCGCGAGACCCGCACAGTATGGTCGACACCGTCAAGCTCGAGCCCCACGAAGTTCACCTTCGACGACGCGCCAGTCTCCGCGTGCACCACGAAGCCGGAGTCGGAGAAGGCACTCGCCACTCGCTGCCCAGTGGAGGCGACGGCTTGGCGGGGCCCGCCGAGCACCAGAAAGTTGTCGACGTAGACGGCCCCCTGCAGGACAGCGGGGGCCAGCGGCGCCGCAGCCGCGCGATCGCTGAGCAGCCGATCGGCGGGCAGGCCCCCTCGTCGGGCGCCCTCCTCAACCACGAGCTGGCAGAGGTGCAGCGCCCAGCTCCAGCCCATGGGGAGCACGGCGAGGTGCGGGGTCAACAGGTCTCCCGGGCGGGTTGGGCGGACATCCACGGCTGGACAGCCGACGGCACCAGCTCGGACCGTCTTCAGCCTGAAAGCGTCGCCCAGCTCGGCAGGGATGGCGATGGCGTAGAGCGCGTTCTGGATGTCCCCGGCAGAGAAGTAGCAGACGTCGCAATCAGCCGACTCGATCTGGCTGAACGCGGCCGCCGTCGGCAGCTGGGTCCGAGGCGGAGGAGTGAAGTCCAGGTTTGCCCACCTCGTGTCGAAGATAATGCGCTGGGCCCCGCTCTTCTTGGCCACCATGAAGATGCCCAGCGACGGCGGCCGGCCGGTGGCGAGGGCGAAGCGCACCATGCCACGGGAGTGCATCTGCTTGACGAAGCCAGCGTAGTTGGAGATGGTGCGGAAGGCTGGGTCGGAGTAAGGGCGCACCAAGCCCAACTCCTTCCTGAGGCGGTCAGCGTCAGCGTTACTGCGACGCGAGTTGGCCAATAGATCCCTCAACCATGTGTGGTGCTCCGGGGCGAGCGCGTCCGACAGCTGCACTGGCGCCGCGCCCGTCTCGGGCCAGGACACGAGGTCCTTGTTGTAGGGCACGACCGGGGAGGAGTCGCCATATGTGATGGCATTCCCACAGAGCTCGCGGAGGCTCCCGTGGGCGCTGACGTCCTGCGGCTTGGGCCCCAGCGCGACGCAGTTGCCCAGCGCGCGCTCCTTCGCGAGGGCCTGGGTGACCGTGTCCAGCTGGGCGGGCCCGTCGTAGGAGCGGCCAGCCATGAAGTTGAGGGACTCGATAGCGTGGTTGGCGAGCCTAGCGCTGTGCTGAAGCCGCTGACGCCGTCGCTGAATAGCCCGGGAGCCGCCAGGCAGGCTGGCGGGCACGTCGAGCGGGGAGAGAGGGAAAATGTCTCGCTGACGACTGGCCACCATCTCGGGCCAGGAGCGAAGGGCCTGCACTGGGAGCTCCCGCGCGCGGCCAGGGCGCGGGCAGCAGCCTTGTCCTGTCGAGAGGCCGCGCGGCTCACGAGCCGCTGCCGCGGCCCGGCCGCGGCCCCCGGCCCGGCGGCGGCCTCGCGAGCGCCCTCTCCTCCCGCGCCTTGCGGCGCTCCTTGGCCACGGCGTTCTCGGCGGCGACCTGCTCTGAAATCCACTTTGCGAGAGCTGGGCACACCATGGCCCCTCGAGTGTTCTGCAGCCCCGTGAAAAAGAAGCTCTCGTCATGCTGGCCCTCGGGGCCCGACGACCCAAGCAGAACGTCTTTGAGCTTCTCCTCGCACAAGTGGATCTGGCGGCAGATGAGTTCGAGGGCGGCGATGTTGCTGGCGTCCAGCTGATCGTAGCACAACGCAGTCTGGAAGATCTTCGACATCTCGGAATGAAGCAACATGATGGGATCGTCCAGCCCCAGGCGGCAGGCGGAGCGGAACGCGATGTGGTGCCCCACCGCCGACCCGCCGTTCTCGAGCATGTAGTTGGCGCACCACAAGACCGTACACGGGCCCGGCACGACCCAGTCCGGCCAGGACTGCTGGCGCATGGCTCTGACCCCCTCGCGGAACTCCTTGTGGCGTCGGCCCTCCTGGTCGTAGGTGACGGCCAGCGTGCGGAAGTCGTCTCCTGCTGCGGCTGGTGGGAGCCCGGCGCCCCCAGCGAGAGCTGCGTGGAGGCCTTCGTGCCCGGCAGCAGCGGCGGCGGCGGCAGCGCCGCCGCCCACGCCACCTGGCGCGGGGGCCCCCGCTGCTGGGCCAAGGGCGGCCGCGGCGCCAGCTGCTCCAGCGGCCGCTGCGATGTATGCTGGAGCAGGAGCCCCGGGGACGGGCGGAGGCGCCAGAGCGCCGGCGAGGCCGCCCTGCTGCAGCAGCAGGTGCGATGGGCGCAGCTGCTGCAGCGGCCGCGGCGGGGCCCAGCCCGGCGGGCACGACAGCGTCGGCGGCCCCGGCGGCGGCCAGGGCGGCGTCGTGCTCGGCGACGAGCCTGAGGGCTGCAGGGCGCAGCGCGTGGAAGTCGGCGAGCGTGAGGGGCTGCGCGAAGTCGTACACGGGGATCCCTGCTGCCGCGGCCGGCGGGGGCCCCCCGCCAGGAACCCTACGATACCAGGCGCGGATGTCCGTGTTGGCGGGCTCCAGCTCTTCCACGTACAGGTCGTTGTCGGGAGTGACCACCATTGCGTGGAGAGGCTGTAGCTGAGAAACACCCACCACAGTGCGGCCGTGCAGCAACGGAGGGTGGACCGCATACTCGATGAACAGCTCATCACCCTCTATCATTTAATCACGCCCGAACCCCGCGGCTGCTGGTGCGCACGGCTGCCAGCAGGCAGCACAGACGGCGCTGGCCGCGGCGCCGGTGGAGGCTGCTCTGCCAGGGCGCGTCGGCAACACCCAAGCCCGGCGAGCAGCCAGCGGAGCGCCTCCACGAGCAGCGGGCCCGCGAGCGACACAGCAAGCTGCTGCCCAGGCTCCTGCCCGGCGCCCGCCGAGCACTCCTGGAGCAGGGCGACGCACTCCTCGATGGAGGGCGGTCGCAGCTCCACGATCGGCTCCGCGCACGGCGGAGCGGGCTGGACCCAGGCGGCGCAGGCCTCGGCTGAGGGCGCCTCTGGCTCCAATGGCGCCTCCGCGGCCGGCGGAGGATCGGGTGGTGGCGGCCCGCCACCAGAAGGCGCGAGCCCGCGCGAGGCTGGACCGAGGGCGAACCCGGCCAGAAGGAGGGCGATCGATGAAATCCAGGCCTCCTCTGGCCGCATCTCGAGAGAAAAGGCTGCGGAGGCAGATACAGATAAACTTATCAAGCGGCTCCGAGATGGACATTGTTGTCCAGCGGCACTCATTCTGCTCCAGGATTAAAGTTCAAGAACACCCATCATCATCGTCGTCACCATCGCAACCACCACCACCATCATCATCATCACCATCGCCATCACCACCACCGCCATCAACATCACCATTACATCATCGCACCATCATCACCGTCACCACCCTCGTCACCGACAGCTTCGTCATCAGACCCGTCGTCCGCAGGACCGGCCAGCGCCCGCGCCCCGGCCTTGTGTCATCGCCCAGTCGACGGCCTTGTAGCACTTGCCCCTGGGCTCCGCGTCTCGGCCTCGGAGCAGCCGCGCGGCTCCCGGGAGCCCACGGCAGCCGCGACAGCTGCGCGGTCGGCGGCCCCCGAGGGCGCGCGAGGTCTGGCCTGGGCCCGCGCAGCGCGGCGCTGCGCTGGCGCCTGGCCTGCGGGACCAGAGCCCGCGAGCCGGGCGGGGCGGACGAACGTCCGCACAGCACAGGACGCGTGCCACCGAGGGAGGCTCGAGGTGGCCAGAGGAAGCCTGGACCGACTCCTTCGCCCGCCGAGGGGCAGCCAAGGCTGGGAGCCCAACCGTGTTTTTTTTAGTTGCTTCTCCGCGCGGCCATTCACCTCAGAAAGGCAGGGACGAAGCGGCATGGAGGGCCTGCCGCGTGGGGGAGAAGGAGCTCGAAAAAGGGAGGGAGACACGGGACTGCCCCGTCCTTGGCACCCCAGAGCAAGAGGCACAACCGTCCCCCCCTCTCCCTCGCCTCGTACCTCGTGCCTCCCCCTCCTCCTCCTCCTGCTCCTCCTCCTCCTCCTCCTTCTCCTCCTCCTCCTCCGCCTCATCTGGGCTCTCGGAGGCGCCGACCCCTGCCCCGCGAGCAGCCCCTCCTCCCGAGCCGTGGCCTCGCGGCCCCGGGTCCCAGAGCAAGGGCCCCCTGCAACTCGAGACGGAACTGGCACTGCTTTTCCTCACGGCGCAAGGGCCGGCGGCGCGCCTTTGGGGGGGGGGAAGACACTGAGGGGGCGGACCTTTCCAACAGGCTCAGAAAGCCTCGGGCCTTCCGATACACTGGAAGCCCACGCCAAGAAACACCCTGCTTGCCTCCAGTGTGCCCTGGGCTTCTCGGGTTTCGATGGTGGTGCGATGGAAAGCGTGACGCTCCCACGCCAAACATCACCGGACGTCCTGGGGTCTGAGTGTTGGGTTTCTTGTGGGAAGTTTTTTGTGGTCGAGTTCCTACTGTACGCTTCTCCGAGCCTTCTCCGAAGCCACATGAGCGGCGAAAGGAAAGGGGCCTTACGCGAGATGGCATAGCGACCTTACGCGGTGGTAAGGCCTCACTCTCCGCCACCCCGAATGTCTGCAGGGTGTAAGTCCAGGGGGCCTTGAGGCAACTGCAGGGGCAGGTCGCCACCTGTCAAAGAACTCTCACGTCAACCCTGGAGTCCCTTGGGAACTTCACATCGCATGATCAGCGGTTCCTGATCAGCTCCGTATGATTATATGTGCAAGCGTATGTGTATACGCCCTGCCAAGCACGCCAGTGCAACACGCGTGCAGGTGTAGTGTAGCTATTGGTGCAACCTTGTGCGCACGCGCACAACGAGCCCACATGGGGAAACATGGGCATCTAGCTTGCAGGGGATCTATGCCGCCCCATTTGCATAACCTCGCGCGCGGACGTCGTGGCCACAACAGTTCACTGGACCCGAAACGGATCCTTCTATATCTCTGAGTGCGCGTCCGTCGAAGGCGGAGTGCGGCGTCAGCCGTCATAGTATAACAAGAAAGGCCCCTGTTCGGCGGAATGCGGCGGAAGCTTGGTGGATATGGTGGGGGGCCCGAAACACGCTTAAACCCAGGAGTTACAACAACGCAGTTGCAGAACAAACGGGGCGGTGGGGCCCGCGAACTCACCCTCTCTCACGGCGTCGGCGGTGAGGGATCCGACCAGAGTAAAGCAACTCCCCATCACCCTCCAAGGTGGCATCGCCTGCTCCCGCCTCCCCCGCTAAGCGCGCGGTCACCCACGCGCGTCTGCGAAGAACAAGGGAACGGCGAGGTCGCCTCGAGGGGCGTGAGGATGTGTGCATGTTTCTCAATATTACCCTCACAGCCACGCAGCTATAGCATAAGAGAGAAGGACATAACATGACAGATGCTTGGTCGAGAAGCGGCATTCGTGTTTTTTTTTTTTTTTTTTTTTTTTTTTTTTTTTTTTTTTTTTTTTTTTTTTTTTTTTTTTTTTTTTTTTTTTTTTTTTTTTTTTTTTTTTTTTTTTTTTTTTTTTTTTTTTTTTTTTTTTTTTTTTCTGAGCTGCGCTCGCCAAGTCGATGATTATCATCGGAACCTGTCGCCCGTGCCAGTCCAGGCCTTCGAATTGCCTCTCGGGCCACAGGCGCGGCATTCAATATGGAGCATATGGATAGTGCACAGGAACGAACGACGTGTTTGCTTTCTGGTGTTCTTCCCTCCCACCATACTCCCTCCGTAACCTAGTGCACAGCCGTGCGAAGCTGACCTGAAATGCTGGCTCAACTTAGGCCTCAGGCTTGAAGTATTCTGAGAAGAGCTCGGCGCGCTTGTCCCAGCGCGGCGTGCCCTTCTTCTGCTGGAAGACAGCATCGTTAAACTGGAAAACTGCAGCAGTCACCTGTGCGTGGATGGCGTGCTTGGGATCCTGGGTCTCGTAGATCGGGGCCCCACACAAGATGGCGATGTCTGCAGCGTCAGGCTGCGTCGCTGGAGTCGTCGATTTGCGAGGCCTTTTCATTGGTGGAGGGGCTGGCTGCTCGGAAGTGTGGGCGTACAGAACCACTGGAGCAAAACCCTTGGGCACGTATATGACGGACCTCTTTTCCACGCGGCACAGTGTTAGTCTCGAGGAATTTCTGGCCGTCGCTCGTCTCGAGATGGGACGTGAATTCTGACCAAACGATCCCCTTGCTCAAGAAAGTTTCGATGGGTATCATCATGAAATACACCGTTGAGGTCATGCTATAGAAGACGGACGCGACCCCTGGATAAGCCCAAGGGGTTCGCACGCTCGCAAATGCTCTACCAACCAACAAAAACTGAGAACGATCAGGAGGTGAGTGGAGGGGACGGCGAGACAGGAAGGACGGCGGGGGCAGGAACGAGGAAGTGAGGAGGTTGAGAAAACTAGAAGAGTAGACTGTAGAAGAGGACGGGAAGGATAATTGAGGAGCGCGGCTTGAGGAGGGCATCGGGGAGGAGGCGACGGACAGACATCAGAGGGTGTAGGAAGGGAGGGGTTGAGATAACTCGGAGGGAATGGCTGAAGCTCGTGTTCCCCCCAGCGGATTGATCCTCCTCCTCCGCCCTCCTCCTCCTCCTCCCCAGCCTCCCTACACGTCCCTCCCTCAAGCAAACCATCACTTCGTGTTGGCTCAATGCATTTGCGAACTTACCTTTGGGTTTATCCCGAAGCCCACCTGGTAGCGGAATCGCCTGCGGCGACTCGCGCAGACAGCCCCTGCGGTTGGCGAAGACCCAGACCTCCGAGCCCTCGGAGTCGTCGATGTTGTCACCGATCACCTTCGCCAGCACGTCCTTCATGAACACGCCCTCGGCCATGCCGAGGGCTCCTTGCCAAGCTGGATTATCATCGCAATGCTTCCTGACGCTGGCGGCCTTGCTGGTCACGGCCTCGACGTCAAGATGCTTGGCAATGTCTTGCGCAAGCTGATGCGAACCCTCCCATATAACAATCGCAGACATGTTGAAGCTGTCCGGAGTCAGGTCGCTGTTCATAAACACACCAAATGGCCTCACGTCGAACTGCGTGTCCTCCGTGGCGAGGGCCATCTCAGTCTGATTGACGTGTTTCGCCATGTACTTGGCGAAGTTCTTGTTGAAGCCACAGCTCTGAAACTCTTTCTGAGGCCTCTGGTTCTGGCCGTGCGCAGTCATGTAGTCCGAGCGCTTCTGACTGCGCTTCTTGGCCAAGAGGTGCCGGCACGTCTGCGACAGCTCGTTGAACACGGGGCGGAAAGCAACGAGTTGCTGCTTCAAGTCAGCGCACCGTTCGACCTCGACTTGAAACGTGTCCTTCTTAGAACTGCTGGCGGTGCCGATGGCCTTCCTGATATCATCTCTCAGCTTGTCCGCGAGCTTGAGCACGTCATCTGGCGACTGCTGCAAGCTGTCCACGTCAGCCTTCTCGGTCTCCATGTCCGACTTTAGCTTCTTGATCGATTCGCAAATGCCCGATGCGCTATCGAACTTGTTGGACATCGCCGTGAGGTCACGGACGACGTCGTCACGTCTCTGAAACCAGAGGAGCCCTTCAGTCGCAGCTGGTTCATGCAGGACCTCTGGGCTGCCAGTTGCGCACGCTGCTCTCCCACGAGTGGGGCCAGAGGCACGCTTCGGGAGAGCGTGCTGGGGAGGGAAGCGGCTCGCGGCAGGCGACGGCACCTCGCCCTCAAGTGCCCGCAGGTGTCCGCCACTGGTGCCCTTGCCGTGACCTTCCTGGCGTTCTTCACCGCTGAATTTGCGCAGCTTGGGCCTCTCCTCAACCCACAATCTTCTGTCCTCTGCGATTTTTCATCAGGGCGTACTCCTTGCTCTGCTCGTCATGCAGCGCGTCGAACTCGTCATCGATCTCACCGCTTGACGCCTGCTCGGCGCATTGGTCTTTCCTCTTTTCGTTCTTGTACTCGGATTTCGTCAAGCCAACTTCGTCCTCGAGGAGCAGCTTGCCCGAGCGCTTCATTTTGATGCTGTAGTCGATGGTATCCTTGTAGGCCTGGCGGATGTTGTGCTCTCTGGCGGCCTCCATGGAGAGACCCTCGCTTGGAGGCGGATGCTTCCTCCTCCGCGCTTCAGGACCGTCTCTCATCATGGCCGCGTCCTCCTGGACCAGGTGCGCTCCGCTCTTGCGAAGAATCCGATGGTTCGAACGTATCATGTTCCAGCAATCCTGGCACAGGGGGAACCCATGGAAATTCTTGTAGATAACACTGCATGCCGCACACAGGTGACAAACGGTCGCGGCGACGAGAGCCGCAGGAGCACACCGACTTCGGTCCCCTCGGCTGCCAGAGGAGTGGACCGATTCGCGCACGGAGCCCGCGCCGTCCACCTCGTTCATTGGCGCCACAGAATGGCCAAAGTGGAAACAAACCTGGTGCGCGCAGCACAGGGGAACAGCGAAGCTTGTTTGAGCCAAAATGAGGATGCGACAGCGGTGGCGTCGGCTGTTGTGTCGGTTGCGGCCCTTGGCCTGCCTGGAGCAAAGCCGCCCACTTGGCTTGCGCGCTGCCGAAGCTCACGACACGGACATGCC